TAATGTGGTGTGGTGTAATTTGGTGTGCTGTAATGTGGTGTGATGTGGTGTGGTTATTGTGGTGTAGAGTAATGTGGTGTGGTGTGGTGTAATTTGGTGTGCTGTAATGTGGTGTGGATAATGTGGTGTGGTGTAATGTGGTGTGGTGTAATTTGGTGTKCTGTAATGTRGTGTGATGTGGTGTGGTTATTGTGGTGTGGAGTAATGTGGTGTGGTGTGGTGCGGTGCGGTGTGGTGAGGTGAGGTGTGGTATGGTGCGGTGTGATGTGGTATCGTGTCGTAAATAAAGTGAACGTAGAGGTAGTCCTTATGGAGTGAACCATACGGAAGAGTTGAACTTTCCCAAATTTGCTTGACTGATCACAAAACATTGGTGTCCTTACCTTTTAGGGGAGACGCTTCTCTCGAACATTGGTTTCCCCAGCGTCTCTGCTATGCCCTTGTTTAACACGACAAAAGGATTTGATGCCTTCATCAAGACGCCTCGATTCTTCTCAGGGCTGTCCATAACGCCTGGTAAGTCTGATCAAGAAAGAAGGAAATTGAAAAAGAGTGTGAATTTGGAGGGTTAGAAGCGGAGGTGAATTTCCACCATACATTTTTAATGTGTTATTTTTAGTGAAGTAGAATTTCTAAACTCTTTGGAGGTACGCCGGAGGATGGGGGATTGTGCTTGATTATCTCTGTAAGTGACATTGAAGCCGAATGTTGCAAAGTCCACATGAGATATTTTTTTTCTTATGCAAACTCGCCATTTATCCCCCATATTAAGAAAAGAGAGAACGTTCTTTTAACACTTTTAAGTTAGACCTTATAGACGCGGTCACGTTCAAAATTCACGAGGGATGAAAAATGTATCTCTGAGTGACGTTATTGCGACTAGAATGTAGGAAAGCTCACTTCAGAGGACTTCAGAGAGATAAATTTATCCTAATGCAAATTCGTCATTTATTCTTAAAATTCCCCTAGAAAATAGTTTCATAAAACTAAGTTATAATTTCATAAGACATTTCCAAAACTATTTGAGAAGAAAGAACGCGCTTTTTATACTTTTGAGTAGGAGCTCTTGAACTCGCTTCAAAATTCATGTGGGATGAATAAATTATCTCTTTGAGTGACGTCGAAGCCAATAAAATGTTGCAAAGCTCACTTCAGAGAGATAAATATATTTTTTTCTCGTGCAAATTCGTCATTTGTCCTTCAAATTGTCTTAGAAATGGTTTTTAAAATCTAAATTCTAATTTTGTAATTCATTTTCAAAACCATTTATAAAGAAAAAACGCACTTTTTACACTTTTTTGTTTGAGCTCTTGAACTCGCTTCAAAATTCATGTGGGATGAATAAATTATCTCTTTGAGTGACGTCGAAGCCAATAAAATGTTGCAAAGCTCACTTCAAAGAGATAAATATATTTTTTTCTCGTGCAAATTCGTCATTTGTCCTTCAAATTGTCTTAGAAATGGTTTTTAAAATCTAAATTCTAATTTTGTAATTCATTTTCAAAACCATTTATAAAGAAAAAACGCACTTTTTACACTTTTTTGTTTGAGCTCTTGAACTCGCTTCTAAATTCATGTGGGATGAAAAATTATCTCTTTGAGTGACGTCGAAGCCAATAAAATGTTGTAAAGCTCACTTCAGAGAGATAAATATATTTTTTCCTCATGCAAATTCGTTTTTTATCCTCAACGAATGGTTTTTTAAAACTAAGTTGTAATTTTTGAGACATTTCCAAAACCATTTGTAGAGAAAGAACGCAATTTTTACACTTTTGAGTTGCAGCTTTGCAATTGTAACTCTTGAACTAGCTTCAAAATTCATGTAGAATAAATTATCTCCGTGAGTGACGTTAAAGCCAAAAAGTCTTGCAAAGCTCACTTGAGATAATATTTAAAAAATTCTCATGCAAATTCGTTATTTATCCTTCAAATTGCTCTAGAATTTGGTTTATAAATGTTTCGGCGTGTAAAATATGTATTACGCTAACTTTTCCAATTAGTGTTTAATTTACGGTTTAAAAGTAACACTCACCATCTGGTTTGGTTTGCCAATGGAGTAAGAGAGTAGCAAGAGTGTCAACATGATATACCAAAGTTCTTAAATAATCTAATCTCTCCTGACTTCTAAAACTTTCCCCTCCTAAAACGTCATCAACACCAGTTGTACAGTCAAAAGACTTCTGTAATTCTGTTAAAGCAACGCGTACAGCAAGAGACTTCTCGACTAACTTGAACGACGTCAAAGAGCCAGAGCTTTTTACTTTAGTTTTTTTAAGCCGAGTAGCAACCTCTTCTACTCGAGCGATAACAGTGTCGCCTTCTTCTAAAGCTTGTTCCATGTTCTTCAGCGATTCATTTTGTTCTTTTGTTCTCTTCCTAGATGTCTTTCTGGATTGGTACTGGATTGGTCGAGTGCTGGACAAAAGGTCGATGAGATTTGGCTTTTGTGAGAGTAGGATCGTGAGCTTTGTCTTTGGTTTATCGTCTGGTTGGAGCAAGAGCTGGGAAAGGTCTGAAAGCATACTGACTACACCAACTAGACAGCTATCGTGCTTGGATGAACCATCTTCTTCTGAAAATAAAGGAAAACTTTACAATGAGATAAGTGGTAAAAAAGAAATGTTTAATGAATTCCTTTTTTGATGTCAGTCCTAACAGAAGTGTCCGTAAAACCCGCACCACTTTTTTCATGAAAATTTATTTATCAACTTTTATTTACCGTTAAACAAAGGAATGATACTCTAGGGAATGAAACGTGGTCTGAAATTGGTACTACACCAAAGGCAAAGCGGCTTATTATGACGACCAAGTACATCACTCGTGAATCCTACCACGTGACCTTCTTACCTTGTACGAGTCTGCTATTCGCTGTTTCAACAAGACTTTTACACATCTCCCACGAGACATTGGCAGTGCAAGCCAAGTCCAAACAAACCATAACTGGAATTAACTGGGGAGACACGAATCTGTAAAACAAAGATTTCTTGATGGCTTCTTCCTCACAGTCAACATCTGGCAACAAAATGCAGGCAAGATTCGGTGACGTCAGTAACTCGTCAATCAGGTTTGACACAACCGATGACGTCACGCCTGAAGCTGCTGCCATGGCAACCGCGCCTAATGTTCGTGACGGGGCTGAGCTTCGGCGGGAGAGACTTTGGCGCGCTTTTGGTTGAAGCTTGGTGAGCTCTTTGAACGCACTGGAATATTTTTCAGCGAAGATGGCGGCTTGGGCACTGGGCTTGGAGTGCATTTCGAACATCTTGATGACTTGCTGAGCTCGGTCGTAGCTGTCTTTGCGCATACACATGAAGATGAGGGTTTCAGGAGAAGATAACATGCGTGCTACAGTGCTTTCATCCTTTACTACGAGGCCTGCTTCCGACACTGATCCTCTTCTGGTTTGTTTTGGTCTTTTGGAACGCTTTTGTCGAACCTTGGTTCTTCCGGTGTTGTCTTCAGTGCCTTCAAATGAAAAGAACAACAAAATGTTTAGGTTACTCAAAGCACTGTAGAGAGCTCCGAGTATCGAACCACAGCAGTGAACAGCGCACACAACACCGTGCTCACGGAGAGTGCTATGCACTTCAAAACTAAAATTAGCTGTTTTAATTTCAAGCAATTCAACCATCAGTAAATACCATTTCTTACCAGTTGTGAGTTCCTGGCTATGATACGAACTTGACTCCTCGGAGCGAGCATCCAAGTCCTCTTTCCGCTCAACATGATCGCCTTTTGGCTTCGCTGTAGACAAAATTGAAAATAATCCCACATTAGTTGATTCTATTAACATATGGATGATTCTTTCAAGTAAATTTGTAAAGAAAGCTTTAAAACCTTGAGCTCGTAGAGCGCGCTTAGAAAGAATAGGATTCAGTGGTCCTTGCTATTTTCCCGTCAATTTTCCAGGCATTTTCCAGGGGTTTGAGCACATACGCTATTGTTTTTACCTACATGTATAGTCAGCACCTTGTTACCAAAGGTGCTGCAGTGGCACATGTGTTTATGTACGTGTGTTTCTTGTCACGGGCCTTTTTGAAAGCAGGTGTATGTATAGTATATTTTATCTTAGATTTATAGTTAGATTTGTATTTATATTTAACTTTAAATCATATTGTAATTTGTATTTGTCAATGCTTCTGAAAAGCCCTGTAAAGGGATGAAGTAATAAAGTATGTAAAGTATGTAAAGTATATTAATAATAGCTATTTCTAAAAAACTAAAAGAAAACAGTGACAGAGTAAATGCATTTTCAAGCAAACTTACCATCTTTATCACCTTCTTCACCTGTACCTTCTTCATCTGATGCATACTCCGCCTTATCTTCCACTAGTTCTCTTCCTCGCTTCTGCTTGTACTTACGACTGACCTTCCTTGACTTTTCATTCCTTGGTACCTTGGTGGTATCTGTCCATGTAACGAGTTGATGCCTCCACTGGGCTTCTGTGATGTACTGGCCCAGCCTGGAAGCGCGTTGTTCTAAGGTACTGCTCGCTACAGATGAACGCAGCCAGTCTGGGCTGTCCCTGACGTCAGGTGTCCCTGTTACGTTAAAGAAAAATTGTAAACCATTTAGCAAACAAGGATGGTGTAAAGATGGCTTTTAAATTCCAATACATTTTTGGGAAAACCGCAAAAGGAAAGAAAGGAAATAGAAGGGAAATAACAAAGAGGAAAAATGAGGAAAGGAAGGAAAGGAGGGAAAGGTAGGTAGGTAGGAAAGTAGGTAGATAGGAAGGTAAGTAGATGTAGGTGAGTGGTAGGTAGGAAGGTGGGTAGAGAGGTAGGAGGGTGGGTGAGTGGGTGGGTAGGTGGGAAGGAATGAACAAAACCAATGAACAAAAGAAAGGACAAACAAAGGTGGTAAGAAAGAGGGAGAGAGAGAGAGAGGAAGGAAAGTGAAAGTAAGAAAGTTATATTGACATCAAAATATTACCTGATTTGTTTTGCTTTATTTTCGCAGTGTTCAGATCCATCAGACAATCTTTCAGCACATTCAAATACTCAGCTACTATCTCATCAGAAGCAATAAACCCTATCTTAGGCTCTTCATCATTCGTGTCTTCCCTATCCCCTGTCTGTGTGCATTTTACTTCTTTCTGCAAGCTCTCTTGTTTTCCTTCGTTCTTTTCCACAACAAGAGGAACCAAACCACGAATCCTCTGAACTCTATCAACACCAGAAATCTCGGTCATCCTCTTCACCCCTTCTTCTAAAGGAATTGGGTCTAAATCAGATTTATTACTCTGGAATAACTGCTTTTTACTCCCGCGAGAACCATGACGTGAATGTCCCTTGATCTTCGAGGGAGAATTTGGCGTAGAAGTTGAACCAGGAGGGATGAAGCTTCCTYGTTCTTGATCTTGAAAAGGGCTATAATGCCCAGAGTGCTCAGCAGCATTGAGATCTGGAGTGCTTGTAATACTAAGAAGACTTTCTACACTGCCTGTCAGACTAGTTGTTATGCTCTTCGTTTCATCATCTCCAGTGTCAAGATCATCACTGTCATGGTGTATCTTTTCCGAGTAAAGATCCTCGTACGTGGCAAACAGTAAGCTAAAAATATCTTCTAAAATCTCCACGCGGTAAGTCAAGGGATACACGTGTGTTAAATGTTCCCTGCCATCTTGTAGCTTCTTCAAAAGGACAGAGTTTTCGTTGGTTGTAGAGTCAGAGGAGTGGCAAATGTCAAGTTTGTTTGGCAAATGAAAAGCAACACCTTCCATAAAATTTTTTAAACCACAAAAACTGTGGTACAGAATAAGATCTCTTTGGACTTCCGGGTGAATGCACTTTGTTTCATCTTCACTTTGAACAAGAACAACCTCACTTCCAGTACAAGAGTCAGCTTCTGTTCCTTTGTAAGTAGCTCCTTGTGTTTTACATTTCCCTAAAATGGCCGGTGTGAAAACTGGTCTCTTTCTTAGAAGACTGAAAACCTCTTTCTCAGGCAGCTGTTCCAGGCTTATGGACTTGTGCAGAACGTGAAGAACAGAATGAGATTCAAGACCCTGGAACATATCACTTGCTTGTTGATGGTGAGTGGATCCTGACTCATTGGATGCAAGCAAAGTTCTAAATATGAAATCAATGTTTCATGTTATTTTGCTACAACTGTACCATATCAATGGGATTTCTATTTGCTTTGTTGTATGATGGCTCAGCACTTTCCTTTGTTCTAAGATATTTATTCTGATGTCTCCAGATACTGGACCATCTTTCCTGTAGTTGTTACTCATGTGATAACTAACCCCTTCCATAATCCAGTTGTAGTAATGACAAGACCACTCCTCCCCTTATCTGTCAAAATCAGTTCTATGATAATCCATCACATCCCTCCCCTACTGTATGTACCCATCCCCACCCCCTGGGGTTTACTGATATGTTAACCTACCCCTCCCATACTACTTACCCTGCTTTCTCCAAACACCACTTGACTAGTTGTA